ATTCATATATAGAGTATTCTTGAAACATCTATTTTATAAAGCTTTAAAAAAGTTTATTGTTATTATTATTTTAGGTAAATATTTACTTTATTATTTTTAATAATCTTACGATTTTAGATTAGTTTTTGTGTTATATTAATTTGCATTCTTCTTAAAGACTTTACGATTTAACATTGCGATACATACGATATTCAAATATTACACATATAAATTGTATCATAGGAAGTTCAATAATGCAGACTAAATTTATATTTTTTCTTTAACTAAAAAGGTGAATTATATATTTTTTAATTTATTATTGGACAAAATACCAAAGTGTTGTCCATAACATATTTTTCATAACAAATTGAAAACTCGCGCGATTTTAATAGTTTTGAGCACCAGTAGTAAATAGTAAGGTTCAAATTATTATAAAATATAACACAAGATTGTTATGTTTTACTTTATCACATTCATATAAATATCGACTGAAAATGTATTATACATGACATATGTTACAAAATAACAAACAATGCTGTGACTAAAAAGTAAAACATATTAATTTCCTGTTAAGTTAAACAAATGTTAAACCTATATATATTTATTTTTATCTGATATATATGCATTAAATGTATCACTATATATAGCGATATGTTTAATAAAATTAAACATTACTTATACGTTAAAGATACACAATTCATGCTTTTAACTTTACTAAAGCAACAGAATGTTGGAACATTTGAAAATAAAAAAATTAATTTTTCAGCTATTAATTAATGTAGTTTTTTTTTAATGATTAATATATCTTGTTTTAAATGCAACTATGTCATGTATATATTACTTTTATAATATTAGTTGTGTCAATTTCAATCATAGCATACAAATACTTATACATGAAATACTCAAGTTATGTGATTGTATAAAAAATATTAAATCAATCATATTGGAAATATTACAATATAAGAAATGTTTTGGAAACAATTCATCATTTAAGATTTTAAAAACTTTCTGCTTTTTCTTTCCTTTTTTAATCATAACTGCATATATAGTTCCAAGGTATTGTAATTTTAAATATATTCTCGCTCTTCTAGTTTCATTATAAACACTAATCATAAAAAATTATGGTTATGGAACTCATTGGAAACTACACCCGTCCCTCAATTTACATGGTACTTTTTGTACAGATTTCAATTTATACAATATTAATTTATACGATTAAAAATATTTTCATCTTAAGTCATCAAGTTACTTAAGAAGTTTTAAGTAACTATACGGGTGAGGCATCAAAAAAAAAAAAAATGTTGA